ATCTTGGTGAACATCCCAAAGCGCAACTTTGCCCCAATTTAACCATGTTCGTATCTATTACGGTTACCGAGATACCAATGCTCGTACCTCGAATTTGTAGCACCCTGTATATCACATTTAGGCACATATTAGGATTATAAAATAAAGTAATTTTGTTTTCTCTGACCTTTATCCACTACTTTCAACCGAAGTGTAAAATTACGCGCCTAAATATGCCCTAGATTAAATCTTGAAATTAGATGCCACATTAATACCGTCGTTATAATTACGAAATAAACTTAGTACCTATGTAATATGAATGAATTATAGTGAAAACAATCCACCATAACATTAAATTAAATTTTAGCTGCAATAGTCCACTCGAGACTAAAAAAAGTGAGAGAAAAATTTTTCTAAAAACTAGTGACTACTAGAGACTATATCGTGTGTTGCATCACCGACCTCAACAATTTCCAAGGAAATTTTAACAATTATAAATTATGGTTTCCCATTATAAATGAGAGGAAAACTTGTAGGAATCTTTTTAAAAAACTCATTAAAATAATGTAAATTTTTCGTTATGAATAGTTTCTACGAATTTCTTTTTCAGTTATGAAAAATAAATTTACCCTTTTTCATTTATTAAAAATGGTAACGCGATTAGGACGTCCTTTTTGTAACAGAATGTTATTTAGAACGTTTTTGACATACCTGTAGAGGAAGAAATATATGATATGACATGAGTACTTGTTTGACTATGGCGACATCTTTCTGATTAACTTAGTATTTCTTTTATAACTAAAAAATACTTCGTTTAAATTAATCAAGATGGACAATTTTCTGTTTTAATGAATGATTTAAAAAGTCTTGTACGGATTTTTCGCTAAAAGAACCTGGAAAACTTTTATTCGTATTTGAAATTTATGTGGGGGTTCCTATGTTCAAGTCTGCGATGCAACAAACTTCATAAGTATATGTTTAGTGTAAACTATAAACATACCATTATTCGATTATCAATGTTATTCATAAAATTTATATTTACTCAACGATTATAGCAAAATATCTATGATCTACATCTATTCCTACTTTACAGCCATTATTCGTCTATCACTAACAAGGTATATTTTCACAGATTCTGGACAAGTATAACAAATATATAGATTTGGTGTCTTCGATAAACAATGATGCAATAAAAAGGACTTTGGTAAGATATTGTGATACACGAACTAAGCAAATACTACAATTTTCTTGACAATTTTAGTTCCAGATATTATCTTGCTAAATTCTTTCCCAAGAAAATCTTAAAATTGTGAATAATTGTTGAAAAATATGTATAAAAATAGTTAATTTGGCACAACCTAGATTTGTGTACTGTAGCGTACTAATATTCAATTATGTTTTCCATCGCGTGATGAAGGACTACTGATAGTAGCAAACAATTTAAAAATAACATATTTCCTGAAAAAATCAAACTTATCTTTACATGCAATTGGGATAATATATTCCGTTAGAACAAAGGTACTCTGACATCTGGTGTATAGGCTGATTCACGGCGATGGCACGTTAGACGTTTATGGAGAACCGGTGATAGAATTTTTTTGAAAATTTGGATTTTTACGTAAAGGCACACCTGCTCCATCTTTCTAAGATACACACAACCAAACTTATATGGAATCACTCTTTATTTCTGACTAAATTTCTTGCAAGGATAAAAGTTTCTATACAAATTTAAAATAAGGCTTTTTGTTATAAATAAACATGATAATAAAGGATAAACGACGGTTGCGATTTATTTTCATATGAATTTTGTGTTCATAATAAAATTACGATTGGCCGGCAATTTTCATTCGATCCAAAAAAATAAAAAAATGCCTTATGTTGGATTAACAGAGGTACATAAGGGAAGAATTATTGCTCTCATTGAAGAAGGAATGCTCCAAAGAGACGTAACAGAGATAGTAGGCGTTACCCAGAGTGTTGTATCGAAAACATATACGAGGTGGCTTGGAATTAGGAACACTCAAGGACAGGCACAGACGAAGTCGTCAAAGAGTCACAACTGAACAACATGACCGCCTTGTGTGCCAGATTGCTAGAATAAATCCCAATGTTTCTCGTCCAGAGCTACAAAGACAACTTCTGGCAGCTACAGGTGTGAACGTTTCAGTTGAAACCATAACAAAAAGGCTTCGTGCTCGAGGGTTTTAGAGAAATAAAATTCAGGAGAGCGGATCCCGCAGTTTTCTCGGCAAAATAAAATTGACCGGCTAAATTGATGCCTTCAACATCAAAACTGGATAACTGAGAATTGGCAAAATGATCTTTTTTCGGATGGGACCAGAATTGGCCTAAGATCAGATGACCATCGAATTCGGGTTCTCAGAGCTTCAGGAAGACGAGCGAGACTCCAGGCTGCCAAATCTGTCCCAAGTTATAAAGGAGGAACTGTAATGTTCTGGGGAGGTATAATGCTGGGAGCAAAAACTCCGTTGTTACCACTTCAACAAACTTTAACGGGTCGGAGGTATGTTGATTTAGTGCTAGAACCAATCGTTAGTCTTTGGAGAGCTGCAATTGGGGAGATTTTTAACTTCATGCACGATAGCCCACCTCCCCATACCAGCAGAGTGACTAGAGAATGTCTTGAAACAGAAGCTATCATAGTTTTGGACTAGCCTGCATGTTCACCAGATCTAAACCCTATCGAACACTTGTGAGACCAGCCCCAAAAAAGAGTTAGAGCTCGTCGAAACAATCCAGGAAATCTCGCACAGCTTATTGATGCAGCATTAGCAGAATGGAAAAACATACCCCAAGACAACGTTGATAATTTAATAAGAAGCATGTCAGAGCAGATAGAAGCTTGCCTAAGGGCTAGAGGTGGCAACAAGGATTATTAAAATTATCACTTTTCTTTTTGTTTTTGCTTTTTGGCCACTAAAAATTTAAATTTTAATTTCGTTTTAGAAACCAAAAAAATACCATTGTGTTTATTTTGGGAACTTATTCATTTTTTTATTGCTATGTGGATTATTTTTCATTAAAAGGCATTCATTGTAAGACTGAGTTTTATTTATAAACACACAAAATTTTTTCATACATCTCGAAAATTATGAAAAATAATAGATGATTCTATATAAGTTTGGTTGTGTGTATTTTCAGTATTACAGTGTTGCCGCATCATTCGAAATGTGGCAGCATCTTTCTCATTTTAAATGGAACACCCAGTATATTATTACATTTTTGGAAAGTACTTTCATATCTCATAATTTTTCTATTATACTAACCTATATGTATCTCAGATTTTAAGATAAAAAATAAAACATGTGTAAAATTGACAAAAACATGGTCGTGAATAAGCATTGGTAAAATCATGAATTAAACATTTTTAAAGTTGAAATTTGGGTTATATAAGTTAACGAAAGTTGATATATTCGATCTGTCTAAATAAACCCATTGGATATTACGCAGAGAGAGCAAAAATATTATTTATTTCCGTTTGTTATAAAATTACTCAAATCTCTGATATTTTAAATTCAACCCTATGAATATTATTCAAAAAATCAAAAGACTAATAAAATTGCTTTTCAACGATATATCATGTTACTATACCTAAACTTACCGGTTTCTTAAGTAGAGCTATTTATAAATTAATAATTCTATTATTATAGTTTCATTTCAAGAATTTCGTTACCATGACAATTTTAGAAATTTAGCACGTAAACTCTAATTATTATTGATACTTATAAAGTTTGAACATTTGTCATGATACATGATACATCGTTGAAAAGCAATTTTATTTGGGTTTTGAATTTTTAAATAATATTTATAAGATTGAATTTAAAATAACAAAGATTTAAGTAATTTTATACCAAACGGAAATAATCATTTTTTCTGACCTTTCTGTTTGATATCCAATCAGTTGATTTATATAGATTGGATATGTCGACTTTCCTTAACCTATAAACCAAATTTGAGCTTTCAATATGCCGAATTTATGATTTAACCAATGCTTATTCAAGATCATGTTTTTGCCAATTTTACACATGTTTTATTTTTTATCTCAAAAACTATCATAGGTACAGGGTACAGGTTAGTATAATATAAAAATTATAAGATATCAAAGTAGATTTCAAAAATGTAATAATATACCGGGTGTTCCATTAAAAATAACGAAGATGTTACAACTTTTAGTATGAAGCGGCAACACTGTAATGCTAAAAATATTTTAGAAAGATGCAGCAGGTGCCTTAATAAAATTAAAATCATTAATGTATGTTGATACAGGTATAAAAAAAATCAGCTTTCCCAAATCTGCCCTTTTTTAGCCCTTTATTTTTTGAGTCGCACTAATGTCTATACCAGTCCTGTAATATCAACAAGAAAGGATTTTTTTTAGTTTTAAGAAGTCAGATTTTCTAAATTATGAATTTCTAAGTTTATTATAAGCTTTTTTTCATATATTATTGACAGTAGAAAAAATTCAAATGGCTGTGCTGGGTGTAAATGACACCCTTTTGCGCTCCACGAAAGGCGCAAACTGCATCAATTTTTGGTAACGCTTGGACTACTCTAGCTGAATGGAAAAATTTATAGTATTTAAAATTAGCCGTTCAAATGTAATAAGAAAAACAATGTGTGAATAAACATCCGAAAAAAAAATTAATCTGAATTTTTCTTAAGCTAAACATAGCATTCTAACGTACCATGGCCGTGAATCACCCTGTATAGAAATGTAGTTCAACAAGTCCTTGTTATTACACTGCTTCATAAAGCGATCGCGTTTTATTGAAATGCAAACCTCAAGAAAACGGGTTCGAAATGCGTTTACTGTTCGTTTTTCGTCCGTCCTGCTCCGGACTTCTCAAAACTTCAAAAGGAAGTTCGGAAGTTTGTACAGATTCGATTTCATCGGACGGGAAATCCTCGAAACTCATATTGCTAAAACCCTCCTCGATGCGAACCTTCGACGACTTTTTAGACTTGGTAAATTTCTTTGAACTATTTGGTGTTTTACTTACTTTACTATTTTTGCTTAAACCGTAACTAGGACTTTCGTCCGAGACGCTGTCATCTATTAATCGATACTTCGATTTCATGTCCTTCTCCTTCTTTTTATCTCTTTTTGGTTTGGTTTTCGGCGATTCCGGCACCGTTTCATCCACGTTCAAATCAGAAAAAGTAGGGAAATTCGAGGGCGAATCGAGAACCGGGTAATTATCTGGACTACTATTAGACAAATCTATCAATAAGGCAGTCTTATTCGGACATTCGATGTTTTTTTCAGATTCCTTCAACTGATTTTGGAAATACTGGTCGGCATTGTCTCCAAAATTCGACTCAAAACGCGCCTCCTGAGGAAACTCAGTCTTCTGATTACCGGATATTTCGATGTTGATAAAATTCGAGTTTACTGTTACAGTACTGTAACATGGATTTGTTTGTACGTCAGTATTAGGAAAGTCGGGAGAAAGAAACGGATTTAAAGATACGGTGGTTTCTGAAGAAGGAAACCACTCTTTCTCCTCAAACGTTAGAACCGTCTCAGTTTCATTAACTGCTGGTTCGGAGGAATGTTCTTCAACCTCCACGTTTATTCGTCTGTGACGAGTCTTGCCAAATGGTGCCAAAGCAAAAACATCTCGCTTCTCTTCGAAACTGCTAGAAGGAGGAATCCACAACGTTTCAGTTTTGTTTTTATGGAGATTCCATTTTGCAGATCCTTGAACTTCAGGTTCCGAATCAAGTTCGTCATCCATTAAAAGTGGTTTTTCTCCATACTGATGGCCTATAAATAGCATATCTTCGGAATGCGATTGTTGTGCTGCCTTCGCCTCTTCTTTCTTCAGTACTCTTATTATTCTACTTGTACAGTCTTCTTCGTGAGTCGCCATACTCTCGCATTCAGCATGATAGGACTGACGAGCCACAAGTTTTTAAATCTTCACTGATATTCTCGCTCACCAAATCTTCTTTCGCCTCTGGTGTTTCTTCGGGAACATCTTCATCGACTTTTAAATCGCTAGCTGAGCCAATGGAATCATCTGAGTCAATAGTTACGGTATCAGCAGTGGTGACTTTATTTTGACTACCTTTTTTCTTCCAGTTTCCATGTTTATCATCTGACCTAAATCCCTTTATGGGCAACTCTACTGTTTTGTAAACGTTATGCAATTTTTCAGGTAAATTTATCTTTTTCTTTTTTCGAACTTTCTCTTGAGCTTTATGTCTGTCTCGATCTTCCTTGTCGCTACTATCGGAACTAACGTCAATACCTTGAACTAATTTTTCATATTTAGAACGATCTTCTAATGGAATTTTAATAAACGGAGGAGACACATCTATATCACTTTCTGTTTCGGTAGTTCCAATCAAAGGGGCTTCCCCTTCAGAACATAATAGATTGTTACAAGGCTCGGGTGAATAACATTCTAGATTTTCGTTTTTGTCTTCAAGAACAGGTTCTGGAATTTCTTTTCTATATGCTTTGGCTGTAAATAAATAGTTTAATAAATTTATATTTTATTGAACGTATTATGGCATTGCTTCATTTGTAATTTGTTCTATTTATTGAAAGTTTAAAAAAAACAGAATTAGTGAGTTGATAACTGTGAATTAGAAACAAAAGATTTTAATTCATTTGATAAAATTGGAAGTATAACACATAAAATTATAATATAAATACTACAGCAAATTAAATGTTACCAAAAGTCAGCATAAATTTTATGTCAACTTAATAATTATTTCCATTTTTTTTAGATTCAATAGATATTGTATAGTATTTAGTTTATCAGTTTTTAAAAAGGCTGTTTCAAAATTTCTAATAGTGGTGAAAGTTAAACTAAAAACCTTTTAAAATAATTGGATCTAATTCAGCTAAAAGGCCCACCACCCAAATATTCTGGAACAGCCATTTTTAGAGATAGGTAATATGAGGGTAAGAATGCCATATTTTTATAACAAAATCTTTAAATAAAACCCTGTTTTCTAATATAAAGCAATTTTATTGCTGCAAATAATACAATTACACTGCTGTACAATTATTTTTTATCTTTTCCTAAAATGGATACAAGCAATCACATTAATAACTTTCATTTTAGGAAAATTCTATTTAATTATAGCACACAAAATACTTATGTAGATTATTTCTGATCCTTACTAAAAGTAATTTTATACTAAGGAACTTAGGAACTCAATATAACGTTATTTAATAACTAAAACCACGTACACAAAAATTAAACAAAAAACATATTTCTAAAAATGCTGTTCCAAAACAAAACTTTTTTGATACCAATATATTCTAGCATCACAAAAAAATACATATAACACTTTCATAATATATTAGTACTGTAACGATATTTTCAAACACGCTATGCTTGAATAGATTGATTTCATATAACTTTATAATATATACAAAATCAGGTGACTCAGGCGAAAGCATGCATATATTTTTGTAGGCGATCCACAAAAATCAATAAATAATTTTTATATTGAATATAATATATAACATATATATCATCTTATGACATAATGTTAATTTTTTCGATTGGGTATTCTGAATCGACTTCACGTACTTATTATTTTAGATACTTGAATAATAAAACATTTTCCCCATTTTTTGAAACGACTTTCTTTAATGAACTTGCTCTATATGAAGAAAATTTAAACTCTAATATGAGGAAACAAACCTTACAAAATCACCCAAAAAATCTGAGAAATAATGCATCATATCTCAGAATAACTTTGATTAAAAACATACTTATGTAAATACAGTCAACTTTTTCATATTTTGAACTAAATAATCGCCTACCAAAATACAAACGTGCCATTCTCTGATACTTGTATATTATAATTTATTAAATAACGTAAAATTATATAAAACTTCACACTAATGCTGTTTAATTGGATATTATAAAGAAATATATGAGATTTATATTCAGTATTTACTCAATATTAATAAATAATTATAGATATATGTATACAGGGTGGCGCACCTCATTCACCTCGGTTGATTATACGAAAACAGAAAGATGTTGAAACAAAATATTTTATGGGTATATGTAGGGAGACAATGTGCACAATTTAAAATTATTTTGAAATATACAGGGTGTTTCAGAACTAAGATCCATACCAAAGTTATATTTTTTCTTATGGAACACACACACCCGGTATTTTATTTCATTTTTGGATTCTTGGGCTCAAAAAAAGGCATTTATTATAAGGGTTAAATATGTTTAAAATCTTTGGTTTTTGAGATATTTAAAGATATTTAAATTTGCATGCTACAATAGAATAGGTTATTAACATCCTGTACATTACTTTTCATAATTAATTATTATGTTGAGTTTAAAGGGAGAGAAATAAACTTTACTGAAAAATGGTATTGCACCCTCAAATTTATACAGGGCTATCAAAAGTTACTGATCAATTTTAAGGATGTATTTTATATAAAAACCTCGTTATTTCAAATGCAACACCCTGTATTTTTTAAAATAAATCAAAGCAGATTCAAATGCTCTTTCAAACTATATTAAGGTTTCCTATACCTATCTAGCTCAGATTTTGAATAAAAAGCGATTTTTAAATATAATTGCAATCAAGCTGGCTGGTGTCGCCATGGCAATTTTCTAGTGACAGTTAGTAACTATTTTCAAAGTCGACACTAGTTTATGGACATTATTATTTATAATTTATAACAGTTTACTTTAATTTACCTACAATAGTTTAATAAATAAGTATTCATTATTTTATCAAGAAAAATAAAGATATGTTACTAGTGATTTTATTTTGTGAGGAAAATTGCTTCTTGGCCTATGCTCAAAGATATCCAAATAGAAATCTTCCTGATAATCGTTCCTTTGAAAAAGTACTTGTCCTATTTCGCAGAGCTTGTAGTGTGGTTTATAGAAAACCTATTAGGCAGAAACCTGTCGTTAGAAGTGAAGAAAATGAATTTGCCGTAATTGGCTCTTTTATAGAAAATCCATATATCTACAAGTCATCGTAAAATAAATCAAAGAACTATTTCTTCGTTTTTCTTGATAGAATAATAAATACATATTTAATAAATATTATTTATTAAACAGTTGTAGGTAAATTAAATAAAAATAAACAGGTATAAATTTAAATAAGTCCATAAGCTAAATTCGATTTTGAAAATAGCTACTGTCACTAGAAACTTGCCATGACGACACTAGCCCTCTTGGTTGCCATTTTGTTGAAAAATTCCTCTTTATTCAAAATCTGAGCTAGATCGGTATAGCAAACCCTAATGTAGTTTGAAAGAGCATTTGAATCTGCTTCGATTTATTTAAAAAAATACAGGGTGTTGTATTTGAAATAACAAAGATTTTATGTAAAATATATTCTTAAAATAGATCAGCAATTTTTGATACCCCTGTATAAACTTAAGAAAGCAATAACATTTTTCTGAAAAGTTTATTTCTCTACCTTTAAACTCAGCACAAGAATTAATTCTGAAAAGTAATGCACAGGGTGTTAATAATCTATTCTATTGTAGCATGCAAATTTAAATATCTTTAAATATCTCAAAAACCAAAGATTTTAAACATATTTAATCCTTATAATAAATGTCTTTTTTTGGGCCCAAGAATCCAAAAATGAAATAAAATACCGGGTGTGTGTTCCATAAGAAAAAATATAACTTTGGTATGGATCTTAGTTCTGAAACACCCTGTATATTTTAAAATAATTTTAAATTGTGCACATTGTCTCCCCACATATACCCATAAAATATTTTGTTTCTACATTTTTCCATTTTCGTATAGTCAACCGAGGCGAATGAGGTGCGCCACCCTGTATATTTTCTGACCTACATAAATAAATAAAATATAGTAATGCATACAGAGAACATATTACAGAGGGTAATATAAATTTAATAAATTATAATATACGTCGCTTCTTTTTCCTATTTAACTAGGCACAAAATATGATATGTAAAACAAAGTCTAAAAATATGTAAAATTTGTTAAAAATATTTAATTTCTTGTTTAAAAAATAATTTTATAATACTAATAGAAATAATAACCGAGAAGTCAATACCAAAATAAAATTGAAAACAAGAGTAACTAAAATTTAAGCGTTATCACAGTTTTAAAACAAATTTAAAAAGAAACAAACGATAAATTAATTTAAAAAAAGGACAGTATTATTAATTTTTGGTTTTAATATGATGTATAGTCATTTAAGGCTAATCTAAGATGGAAAGATAAATTCTATTATAAGAAAATATTTTAAGAGTACACATTTTTCAGTTACTTTAGTTACTAAAACCAATGACTAGGAAAAATTGTCTTTTAATTTCTAAAATATTACAATCCAGGAATGATTATTTACACATTTGGTGACTAAAGTAAACATGTATCGTAAAATTAGATGTACCAAGATATTGCGTATGTGTAGTTATAGCATATTAAGTACAAATTTGCTAGACCTTATTTTATGAAATAATATTTACCGATTGTTAATTATGATTACATATATATAGTTAATATTTCAATAAAAATTAGATAACTGTGTTGAACTTTAGGCCTTACTGTAGTAAAATGTAATTTTTAGTTATTACCGTCATTATTGTCCAAATAGGTTTCGTCTTCTCGAGAAATAAACCTTATACAGGATAAATAAATTGTAAAAGTAGTAAAAAATTATCCTTTAAAAAATATAATTTTTATTAAAGAGAAAACAAAACATACATACATCATCTACATAACCGTAGATGGAGCTAAAAGCAAAGTAAGGTTCTATATCAAACAAAATAGTATACAGAGAAGTAAAAAGCCCTTAACACCTACAGGTGTGCTAATTTCCCCATTGTGTACTAATTGTACTAAGTTCATTAGATCGAAGCATCAAGCAAGGTCGGCCTGATGACGGAAATCAATTCCCGTCGGATGGTTCATTCCTTCGGTCTGATGAACTTAATGCAGAAATTAGTACACTTGTAGGGGTTAAAGCCTTTTTACTTCTCTGTATGCTATTTTAGTTTTACAAATTATGTAACTAATACATGTCCAATAATAAATGTTTTGCTACTAATCTAACAGATAATCTTATTTATAATAAAAGTTATAAATATCACTCGTGAAGCAGAGTTGACTGAGTAAATAATTAATTTTTATTGCTAATATCGTTGATTGAAAAAATAAGATGCACAACCTTATGGACGATTTCGTGGCACAAAACCTGTCCGAGATATAGCTGGCGATACCGTCAGCCTGTCCGAGATTTAGTTTAGCTCTGCGCCGCTGCGCGCTGATGGTCGTTTACAGCGCAACGAATAAAGAATACTGTACCGTAGTTCTGCTTTCAGTCGACAGAGTGGGTGGTTGCCGGAGGCAGTGTTACCAGAACTACGGATTAATCCTTAGATTTCCGGATTTTGGGTAGAGTACGTTAATAATACGGATTCTCTATCATTTACAAATTAATCTAATATTATATGATGAAAAAAAGAATTGCGTCAGAATTG